TTTGTGTCCATAAAATTAATATTAAGAGGTTTATCATCGCAATTTTAGATTTTTTTTTCTTGAGCGAGTTTTTGTCTCAGAACTTCCAAACCATTGCAATGCATTGAGTTGAACAAAATTGACTTAAAAATATTTTTTGAAGAAAATTGAATGTTCTACAAAAAAGTTTGATTGGAATTTTCCGTCAGATTAACCGTTTTCTTACAATAATGCCTTAAAAATTGGTATAGTTTTACAATTTGATCTTTTACCTTTGGAATTTTGTAATTCTGGGTAATGATTTTTACATGAATTACAAAATTCTAAATTTAAAATATCAAAATGTAAAACTATACCAATTTTTAAGGCATGATTTTTAGGAAACGGTTCATCTGACGGAAAATTTCATTTTAACCTTTTTTGTAGAACATTTAATATTCTTAAAAAAATATATCTGAGTCAATTTTGTTAAACTCAATAGTTTTGGAGTTCTGAGACAAAACTTGCTGAGGAAAAAAAAATTAAAATTGCCTCTTAATATTAATATTATGGTCACCCCAAACCATATTTTCTATAAGTATACTTTTGAAAAAAAAAATAGTTGATTTTTTTGGCCCAGTCTAATACATGTATAAAGTGTGGGGTTCATATATCTGTAATATTTCTTATTTCAGTTAAAGCATAACCTTTATCTGATATTGTTAGTGTTTCAGGAATAAAATAATTTTTGGATTTAATTTGAGGGATTAATATTTTAGTTTTATTTTAAATTTTGTTTTTTGGGGTTCCCTAAATAATAAAGGTTATTTGGTCATTAAAAATACTTATAATACTATGGAAAATCAATTTTCCAATTTAAATTAATATTTCTGCAAATCCAATCAAGCCATCCAAAAATTCGTGGAAATCAAAAAACAGAAATGTGATAGTTGATTTGATGGTTTGTTTCTAAACCTAAGAGATAAGAAACAGGAATTTGAGACTTGAATCTACACTATTTTTCGCCATTACAGGTTTTTATTGAAAATGGATAGTGAAATATAGTAGTATAAGGGAATCATTTTTCGGCTATTTCAGGTTTTAGAATTGATTTTGTTGCTCCGGTGTCGATTAATAATTTTATAGGAGGATTGCTAAGTGTAAGTATAAGGCATTGTCGTCGCACGTATTATTGATTTCGATTATGTCGAAATTTTGTATGTTTTGTGTGGCAATTTCAGGTTTTTTTATTTGTTCAATTTAAAAAAAATTGTAATCGATGCCACACTGGCTACTGGTAATTCGGTTTCACTACTCTTTGATTTTGTGACTTTTTATATATTTATTCTTGTACCTAAGAATTGATTGGATTTAGAATAAATGTTTTGTTTGCTTCTTATAGAGGAATGTTTAATAAATTAATCCCCACAAGAATTATAATCTTAATGTTAGACTCTTAGTAAATAACCAACATGGTTTCAGAAAAAACAAGTCAACAGCCACTGCTGTTTCAGATGCAGTGTCATTTATATTCGATGCCTTAAACAATAATAAATATACAGTAGGTCTATTTTTTGACTTAAGTAGAGCCTTTGATACAGTAGAGCAGCTCCTGCTGCACAAGCTCCATTGTACCGGTATTTGAGGTGTCACTCATGTCTCTTCGTACCTTAAGGAAAGAAAACAGGTAGTTGTGATAGGTGACAAAACATCCACCTGAAAAAATGTTAGTCTTGGCGTTCCACAGCGATCCATATTGGGACCTTTGTTTTTCATAGTATTTATGAACGATATTTCTTGCTTATCCTCCATAAATAACAAAATTGTCCTCTATGCAGATGACACTTACATAATTCTTAAAGAAAACGCATTGATAGCTTAGCAAAATCTGCAACAGACTCTTCTGTGAAATTTTATGTTTGGTGTAGAAATAATGGACTATTAATAAATACTAACAAAACTTTTCAAATGAGATTTATGCAAAAAAATCTAACTAATAACTTTGATCTTCTTATAAAAAATAGTCATAACCTTATATTAAGTTCCTAGGAATATCATTGGATCCAAAATTAACTTGGGAGAACCATATACGGGGCAAAATTTGCCAAGTGTACCAGGTGAAAAAAATGTTGTCACCGATTTTGTTTAAACTTTACTTATTTGTTGTTCTTATAACGAAGAATCATAGCATAACATTTTTTTGCTCTAGGATTTTTCATTGAAGAGTTATGGATTATTGAAATTTGTCGATTTTTTACTTTTTGGTGAAATCGCTTTTTATTTAAAAATTCATAACTTCTGTTCATCTCTTTATTAAATATTTCAATTTAACCACTTTAAATGATTTTTTCTGTACTTTTCAATGGGCTATACCGTTTTTGCAAAAAAAAATAAAAATTGCAATTTTTTTTGAAATTTTGCAAAATTTTGCATTTTTTAAAACAATGTGTAGGTATTTTTAAATTTTTTTTAAAATAGCATAAAATCCAATTTTATTATGTTACCTTTGAATAAAAAAAAATTTAGAGTGGACCCGACATGTAGAAGGAAGTTTTTCATATTTGAATGCCGCACGGTCTAGCCATCGAATAGCTACTACACTGCCGTATGCGTTTATACCTAGTAGATGCGAGTAAACGAATACAAAATGATAATTTAAAATGTAAAATTATGTTTAAGTAGTCAATGATGTATTTTAAATATTTACACTGCCGCACGATATAGTTTTTTTTATTGTGTATTAGTCCTTCGGAGGGGACTTTAAGCCCGCGGTCCGTTCCTACCCCTAACCCGCACAAGCCATTCAGTTGGCTTATGGGACTTCTTAAGAAGTAAGGGTGAAACTAAAAGAGCACTTTTGTATATAAACTGTATTTTTTTGCACAAATTGTTTAAGCATGGGTCTACATAGATTTCGCAAGGAGGGTCGATGATATTAAATAAAAAATGTATTGTTATAACCGTAAAGGCGCCATTCAGCTTATAGACCAGCCGTTACGGTCATAACAATAATTTTTTTATTTAATATCATCGATCCTCCTTGCGAAATCTATGTAGACCCATGCTTAAACAATTTGTGCAAAAACATACAGTTAAAAAACTATATCGTGCGGCAGTGTAAATATTTAAAATACATCATTGACTACTCAAACATAATTTTACATATTAAATTATCATTTTGTATTCGTTTACTCGCATCTACTAGGTATAAACGCATACGGCAGTGTAGTAGCTATTCGATGGCTAAACCGTGCGGCATTCAAATATGAAAAACTTCCCTTCTGCATGTCGGGCCCACTCTAATTTTTTTTTTATTCAAAGGTAACATAATAAACTTGGATTTTATGCTATTTAAAAAAAATAAAAAAAATACACATTGTTTCAAAAAATGCAAAATTTTGCAAAATTTCAAAAAAAAATTGCAATTTTTATTTTTTTGCAAAAACGGTATAGCCCATTGAAAAGTACGGAAAAATCATTTAAGGTGGTTAAATTTAAATATTTAATAAAGAGAGGAACAGAAGTTATGAATTTTTAAATAAAAAGCGATTTCACCGGTGCACCAAAAAGTAAAAAATCGATAAATTTCAATAATCCATAACTCTTGAATGAACAATCCTAGAGCAAAAAAAATGTATGCTATAATTCTTCGTTATAAGAACAACAAATAAGTAAAGTTTAAACAAAATCGGTGACAAAAATTTTTTCACCTGGTACACTTGGTAAATTTTGCCCCATACAGGCTCTCGATAAAAAACTTAGTTCTGTTTGCTTCCTTATAAGATCTCTAATGTCCTTTAAAGGACAGTGTATCGTATGAAGTCTTAAGGCTAATGTACTTTGGACTTGTCCAAAGCCACTTACACTATGGACTATCTTTTGGGGTTTGTCAGCACATTTTAACAACATTTTTACTAGACAAAAAAAGGTTTTAAGAACTATGGATGATAAGGGTCCAACATATTCATGCAAATTGTTGTTTAAAAAATATAAAATACTTACGCTTCCATGTCGCTATATTTTAAATTTAATTTTATATGTGCATGATAATATTGATAACTTTTCTAAGAATAACGAAATTCCTAATAACAATACTACAGAGAGAAATAATATTAGACTTCCATTTTCACGATTACATATTTCCCAAACATCCCACACTTATCAAGGGTATAACATGTTATAACAAAATGTACAATGTTATCATCGAATGTAAGAGTAGAATTGTTCTAAAAAAAATTAACAGAAATATTTCATGAGAAAATGTATTACAATATTGAACATTTTTTTAATGATTCTTTTTAAAATGTACTTTATATTTTAGATTTGCGTTCTTTTATTTATTCTTTGATACTAGTAATTAATAATTTATTCGTAGGTAGGTATATTTTTAAATTTCACCATATTTTATGTAAATTCTTATTCACATTGTGTTTTTTTTTGACTAGTCACATAAACCATGTATTTTATGCTTAAATGTACCTGGTTTGATTGATGAATAATTATTATTATTATTATTATTAATATACAATAGTAAAAATATAGTAATTTTTAGAACGTAGGTATCTACTCTAGGATAAAATAATAATTTTAAAATCGAGATCAATTTCAATATACACATGTTTACATACAATGCACGGGTTCTTTTCTTATCTTAATTAAATCAAATTTAGAAAATAAAGTTTGTAAGCAAGCAGACAGCAGGGAAGCCCTATTTTAAATTGTCCCGAAGTTGCAGATGCTGCATAACAAACTAATATCATTGGTTAACTTTTAATTTATGTAAACGTGCCCTGCATTACTAATTCGACGCATAACCATTTTGTTTAAGATAGATTACAACATTTAATTTAGAGGATTAATGCTTAAAAGGCTATTTAAACTACTATGTATGTTGGAAAATTAAACATAGTGCATTTGGTTCCATAAAACAACGTTGAAAAGTTTTTTATTAGTAAGATAAGTACTTGAATCATTAATATAAATTAATTTTTGAAACGTTAAAAAATAAAAATAAAATTAATTGTAATAAATAATTGCTGAAATCATAACATAACGCAATGCCCTTTCTGTTTGTTTTTTCGATCCACCTTAACAGCTCTTAAAAATGCAGTTTGAAATGTTTGTTCAATGTTTATCATATTTTTTGCAGAACACTCCAAAAATCCATCAGCTTTTATTTGTTTGGCTAAGGTTTGCCCCTCCTCGGTTGTTATACTGCCACTCATTCTCTTTAGATCACTTTTAGTTCCTGAAATCAATAATTTTTAATTTAAATTGAGACCAGTGAAAACAAGTATTTTAAGAATAATTTATTTAGTAACTGTTTTTAGTAGGTATTGCAAAAATATAGAAATACAAGTATAATTAAAAATGTAAATCATGGTTAATGACAAAAGCTCGACATCTCAGATTTTACTAAAATTTTTAGGATTTGAATATCAATGCTTGGGATAAATTAAAATCACAATAATATTGTTTTATTTACATACCCTGACAAATTAGGCAAGGCCTTGTTGACCGGTTTTCATAAAATATTACCAAATCGGTTTCTAAGAAATCCTTTTATAACTTTTTTGTTTATTAATATTTTGTATCGCGTAATATTTTGTTTTAACTATAAAACAATATAAATATATACCTAAAATTATACAAATGTTTTTACAAGTGCAATAATAATTTTTGTTCCAAATTAAATTGTCTTTCAAAATATGTAAAAACATACAGGGTGTGCCGTTGAAAAAAATGTTTTTGTGAATATTTTGTTTTTGTTTATACCATTTTAATCAGAAGAAAAAATTACAACATTTTCAAATTTAACTTTGGACGTGGTGTATATATATACAGGGTGATAAACCTAACAGATTTATTAGAGGTTTATAGAGAATTATAAGAGACATCAATTTAAAATTTTGGTTGCACGTACACTGTTTAAAATATCTGTGGTGTAAAAAGTAATCCTAAAATGGTGTCAAAATCCAACACCAAGTGGTGTTAATATAACACCATGAATTATGGTTGAAAATGAACACCAAAACGGTGTTTATCCAAAAATATTTGAGAAGTGCACCTACACAGAAAAAAATAAATAAGTTCATTTAACTATATTAATTTAGTTGACCCATAAGTATTTATTTTTTTGTGGATCACGTGATGTTCTTAAATCTCGCCTCTGTTGACTTACATGAAGAATATATAAACTCATGTTGTCCTTTGCTTTGGTGTGACACTACAAGTTGTTCGATACTAGACCTTAAATAGGTGGAAACAGCTGTCAATACTTGAAGTATTTTAAGTTAGTGGAACGAACTAAAAACATTATCTCTAGCGAGTTGAAGGTAGTAATTCGTCAAGGAACTTCCTGTTTCCTTTTTTTTTCCTTTTTTCTGTGTAGTATGATTTAATTTTACCACAAACACATAATATATAACACTGAAAAGGAGTTCAATTTACACTAGGTAAAATTTATTTTAATACTGTGTGAAAGTTAAATTTACACCATTTTAGTATTTGAATTTACACCATTTTAGTATTTAAATTAACACCGGACCAACGAACCCTATTTAACACAATTTTGGTTTGTATCGATATAGACCAAATATGGTGTTAATTTGGTGTTAAAATGGTCATGAAATTTTGAACAGTGTAAAGCGCAATGTGATTTATTTATCTAAAATATTTGTCACCACCGCGGTGAACGGGAAGTGAAAGTAACTTTGTTTTTTTTTTCAAATGAAGCCATATTAATATTATTGTATTTTTAAATTCTACGTTAAAAAAGCTATTGAATTTTGAATCGTTTTTCTATCTTCAATTGTTTTTGAGATATTTAATTTTTTTTAATTTTGACAAATGAGGGACCAACTAAAATGTCTCCATTACATATCAAGAATTAACATTTTAACATTACAATTGTTAATGCAGATATTTTATTGAGTCAACATTTTTAAAAAAAATAAAGTATCTCAAAAACAATTGAAGATAGGAAAACGATTCAAAATGCAATAGCTCTAGAATTTTAAGTAGAATTTAAAAACGCAATGACATTTATAGGCTTTAATTTGGAGTGCCAGAAATTGAAAATATTTTAGAAAAATATATCACATAGCTGCAACCAAAATTTCGGATTGATGTATCGCAACAGAACACCTGGCCTTGATTTTTTGAAGTTTTTAAATAAAAAAAAAATTAACGTTTACCATAATCGTAACAAACCTGTAAGTATGATTTTTGTGTTGGGCTTGAGAGCTCTTAATTCAGGTACCCATTTATCTTTGATGTTGTAATATGAGTCTGGATTATTTATTGCATAGCATAGGATAAAAACATCTGTCTAAAAATAATAAATTAATTAATTTAAACATAAAAACATAACCTGGCAAGTTTACAAATAAGTTCAAGGTTAATTTTTTATAAAGTATAATATATTATATTTCTCTTAGTATACTTTTTGAACTTAAATTGCTCTTGGGCTTTAAGGTTTTCTTACGTCTTTATAGGCGAAACGTCTTAGTCTATCGAAGTCTTCTTGCCCTGCGGTGTCGTATAAAATGATGTGGTATATTTCGTTAAATATGGGGATGTCCATGGAATATGAGTCAAACCTAAAATAAATAATTTTTTAGTTAAAATATGGTTATATTTATTATTTTTTAAACTGAGATAAAACAGTTTTATTTTTAAATTTATAATTTTTACAATGGTAAATCATCATAAAATAAAAGTATTCCATCTCACTTTGACTTGACAATTACTTTTATGAAATATTTTTTAATAGAAGTAAATAATTGAATAGTGAGATGGACTACTTTAATTACACCTGGTGATTTCAGCTCTATTACTTGATTTTTTATTCACTTTATATGTGAAAGCATTTTTTTAGACAGCAATGGTTGAAATCCATTGTATGGAAAATGTAATAAATATTTTTTCTATGCTAAGTAATTTTAAACAATTAGAGCACGTTTTTTGAAAATGGGCTTAGAACAAAATTTGGATATTTTTTATTTTAGTCTAATCGTATATGGATTTAAACGGTATATTGGGTTATACAAGGTCACTATTTGATGTATTTTTTCAAAATAATCGCTGTCACTTCGGAAACAGACGAATATTTCAGATTATACGGTAATATTAATCTAACGTATTAATCTATGGTCCCACCTTTGTAAACAAAAAATGAATTCCAATAGTAAAACGGTTTTGATATAGGTCAGCACATCTTAAAATTACAATTATAAGAAAATGTTTACACAAATAAATATAAAACAATATTTCAGGGGCAGTAATTATATTTACCAGAATTTAACCTTCGCTATATCACTTTTGGCAGCATCGTGGCATATTGTTTTAAAAATGGCGAATGCACCGGGATTAAATAAATAATTAATATAGAATTTGTTAATAACTCTAGCGATATGAAATAATCGGATCCTAGCATAGTCATAAAATTTGTATTGTCTAGGCAAAGGTTTATACCTAAACTAGGATACGATTATTTAATATACTGTGTGAATATTGGTCAGTTCGTTCAGAAGTTACACTATTAGGACACAGAGGCACCCCTTACTATTATAAATTTATTATTAATAGGGCATAGAGAAACAAACACAAACTTGTGTTTGTTTCTCTATGGATAGGGTTGAATTTAACTGTCAACTTTCAGAACTGTCATAGTGTTTATTAACAGAACTAGAGTTTACAATGTTGTCAGATTTAATAGTATATTATGTATCAAGTTTTATAAACGCCATTTTAGTTACGAGTTTAATTAAGCACGAGCGAAGCTTGTGAGCGAGTGTTTAATAAAAACGAGTGTCTAGAGAAGTTTATAAAAGAGTTGCATACTATACTTTATCTAAGACGAACACAAAACAGAATTTAGCCAATTTTATTTGTTAAAATTTTGACATCTGTCAACTGTCACTCACTTTTTCCCAATTTATAATAAAGGTAACTTCAGCCCGTGACGTAAAATGTCGAAAAGCCACTGTTCGTAACTTCAGCCCGTCAATAAAACGCCATAAAGTCACAGCTCGTCAATGTAGGAGTAGATAAAATATATTATTAATATAAAGTCATAGGCCCGGTTGTACAATTCGAGTTTAGTTGCAGTTTATGATATTTTAGCTTTAATTTTGTAATTTGAAGTGATATCAATTTTGAAGTCTTTCTATATAGACTTATAAATCTAATAATATTAAAATTAGCGTTCCTGCTATATAATACCAATTGTAAATGCTGCATAAATAATTATTGTAAATGTAAATTAAAATAACTTTATTGGAAAAAGAAAGATGACATATGTATACATATATATTATATAATACTAGGCAACTCTGTACAAAATACAAAATATCCTACCGAGTGCGCCATGTAGGTGTATGTAGGTATCTTGACTAGCATGGGTGGTAGGTGCATTTGTAGTGGGGATTTATTAATTATAGTGTTGCCTAGTATTATGTATACTTATGACACAAGTAAGTTAGCGTTAAAACTATGTTTTCTGGTCACAAATTTTTACTTCCCCCAACAAGATCAAACATAAAAGAAAAAAAATTAGAGGAACAATTATTTCTGAGAACCAACAGAATTTTTGGAGAAAAACTTATTTTAAATATGAATTTTCCAGTTTTTCAATCGCAAGATCAGAAGAAAAAGTTATCAAGCCGATCGAGAATAAAAGTAAAAAAAAAGAGAATGAAAAGCCTAAAATTGAAGACCCTGATTTGAAAAAAATATATACAAAGTAATTTAATTACATGCCAAAAAAAATTACAAAAAAAAATTAATTTTTCATTTTATAATTTTACTTATTTATACCTACATGGTGAAACAATTGGAACCGAAAAGAGTGGTCCGAATCGGACAGAAATATTTTTTTGGAACCGTAACTGAACCCGAACCGAAATTTGTCGTTTCTCTCGGAACCGGAACCGGACAGGAACTGTTATTTCATTTGGGTCCAGGTCCCTTATCCTTAGTGAAGGCCCAAATTCAAATTTTATCCGCAAATTGAATGAATACTTGTTTATTTAACTTGACGTCACGTACTTAATGACAACTTTCGACGAAGTTTGCCGAGAGGGAGGGATGCCCCTTTCACACATCGTCACGATTTTTTGACCTCCTCCCCCTTAGTATGTATATATTTTTAATAAATTAGCCATAATAGTATAAAATTTGTCCCTGATTAACTTTTAATTGAAAGGTTCAGACGTATCCGATTTTTTTTCATATTTTGATAAAAAATCACTTACAAGACACTTTTTTTTCAGGATAAACTCAATTCGCTTGTCACTTTTAAAAAAAAAATCAATTTTTATAAAAACATTAATGATTTTTAATAAATTATTTGAGATTTTAATTAGTGAACTCCAAATAATGACTAACAGCTTTTAATGTATTTGTTACATAAAATGTGCAATTCATTAGACTAGTGAACTATTGACATATGTCACTTGTCACATGTCGAAATCGTGATTAAAAATACCGTTGCGTTATTTTACCGTTTTTTGTTCAAATTGTCGTAGATTTATTTATAAATTAGATATAAATAATTATATTTGCATTGATTGTAGTTTATAGTGAAATGAAGCTAATAAAAAACCATGCATGGAGTCACTCGGAAAATCGCGCGAGAATTTGTTTGTTTTGTCTTAAAAAAAAAATAAAAAATGTCTAAAATATGTGGAAAGATTCTGAAAAAAGTTCAAAGCATATTAGTATATCGACCCATGCAACGAAGACTATAGTAACTCAAAAAACGTGGGTTTTGACTTACTATATGGCATCAACAGATTTTTTCAAGCTCTATTTGGTGGAAGATTACAGTAACTTAGACATGAAACGATAGGCAACCAGTGAACAACTTCCCTGTATAGTAAGTGTAATAATCCACATTCCTACAGGCGAAAACTACATTAAGTTGAGTTACTCTAGTCTATAATCAAAACTGAGTTACAATAGTCTTCGTTGCATGGGTCGATATGATGTAGAAGATGAACGATTACCAAAAGTTGTATGCAAAGGTTGTGAAAAAGCGTGTGTTTTTCTTTTTTAATGGGTTTATTTTTAGCACTTTTTATAAAATTATACCCAATTATTTCCAATTAGAAAAATCAGGCAAATTTAACGTGTTTCTATAAATTTCTTGTTTAGCTGCTTTATATAATAAAATTTCATGTTTTGAAATTGCACAGCCGAAATCCTTAAATTTTAGTCAATATTCCTTAAATTTTAGTCAATATTTTTTTTTGTTATTTGTATAAAAATATTCCCCAATGTATAAATAAAATTTTTTGTTATAATTTTTAAAAAACGGCTCAACATTAGGGACCCCTAAAAACATTCAATTGTTCTCTTTTTTTATTTAAAGACTTACACTGTTGGTGTATAGGTGTCGTTAAAAGTTTTGTCCTTATATGCAATAAGAATGGAAGTTTTTCCAGTATCACCATCACCCACGACTGTAATGCGAATTTTTTTGTTGCTCATTTTGTTTGCTACATTCTACACCTAAAATATACAAAATTATCAGTTACCTACAAATTTAATAGTAGAAGTAAATTCTTATCACTTAAAATCTTTATCTTAAACATTATAATGTTTAAGATAAACCATGATTTTTATAAAAAAAAGGTATCTAAAATAAGTAGATAAAATGATCTTTAAAGAATATTATAGTAGGCTATAAGTCTATAACCCTGCGTACTAAAGGCAGGGATTTATAGTCAAATTTATAAGTAGATTAATAAATGAATAAATAAATGTTTACTTAACTTTATAAAAACGTATTACTCTCTCACTACGCCACTACTGGAAAAATACAAATAACCTAGATACGTTTATTGTAAAACTGATTACCTATATCTAAATCCATCTGTTCGAAAAAAGTCAGTGTAGCCACATTTCTGAGAAATGACTGATAATTATCTGTATAATTTGAAATGTTATCTTTTAGATAAGCACACAGTATACGAATAAATCATAACAATATTCTATAAATATATATCTACAAGTTAGACGTTATTTAATAGGTTATTGTGTTTGGTACCGTTGAGAGAATTAACGGTATTACTAAATTTGACAACATTGCCTGTTTTTGGTAATAAAATTTTAGTTAAATGTATTTTTAATTACATAAACTCCGATAAGTACTAAAAATGTTGTGGAAAACATAAACTTAAAATGAAATTAAAAGTTATTTTAATAGATTTTGTCCCACACTCACTTTAAATTAAGACATTATACGCTTGAAAAAAAATTAACAAAGTAACCTATTTTTACACTAGTTAAAGAATAAAAAAGAAGAAGAAAAAGACGTCAATAATTGTAAACAATAAATTAAAGATATTTTTACTTACTGATGATACATTCTTTCATAAATATAATTTTTTCTACTCCCACCTTTAAAACTACCTTTATCGTACATGTTTCCATGACACTAAGTGACCTTTTAAATACACATTGACAAGTTGTGGCTTTATGGCGCTTTAGTCACGGGCTGAAGTTAGTTTTAAATTAGTTGACAGTTGTCAAATGTCATACAATCGTTAAAATAAAGTGCCTTTCTTGTAAAATAATACTAAATGTAAAAATTATTTTATTATCTCAATACAAAACTACAAAAGTATTAAATAGTTTCTCAACGCCAATATTTAAAAAGTTTATATGAACATTGTACTGACCTTTTAATTTCGCCGGCAGTAAACTATAACTTAAATTCAGGCACGGACTCCACTGTAAAGTGCTCATAAAACATTTTTTTTACTTTCAATGTGAAAAACTGTCAATTTTCAAGAAATACATTTCGATTAATAACCTTTATAATTGTGTTTATAAAGTATATAAAAATTTGACATTTGACGGTGACACACAGATTCCCCTATTGTTTCATACATGGCGCTCTATACAAATTTTTGATTTAAATCATTTTAAGATAATAATAAGTATTTTTCGTAGAAAAAGTATTAGTATGCACCTCGTTTATAAACTTTTTTATAGACTCATTAATTTAAGCACGCGCTTGCAAGCTCGTTCGTGCCTAAATTAAATTCGTGTATAAAATAGCGTTTATCAAACTTGATACATAATATACTATTATCTACTCCAACATTAACAAGATGTGACTTTATGACGTTTTAGTCCCGGGATGAAGTTAGCAATAGTGGATTTTGGGCATTTAAGTAACGGGCTAATAAAGTTTTCTTTATTATAAATTGTTCACATTTATTAAGCAAAATTTTACTCCTATTAAATGATTTCTATTAAAAAAAATCTAGAACTAAAGGAAAAAAAAGAATGGGAAAAATTTGCATCAAACGAATGCTCGTTCAGAATCGACCACTCATTGCAGAATATACTATTTTATACTTGTTTTCATATGAGTGATCTTTTAAATACACATTAACAAGCTGTGACTGTATGGCGTTTTAGTCACGGGCTGAAGTTAGTTGCAGTTGTCAAATGTCAACAATTGTCAAAATAAAGGGACTAGAAAGTGAGGTTAGAACAGTCTGGCAGAATATGATGTAAGATTTTATTTATTTTTAAAAATTGTAAATTTTTGTGTTTTTCGTAAAACAAGTAGCATGCAACTCCTTTTATAAACTTCTCTAGACACTCGTTTAATAGACACTTGCTCTCTAGCTTCGCTCGAGCCTAATTAAAACTTGTGAATAATAAATGCAGTTTTTTAAACTTGTTACATTATTTTTAGTCGGTTTATGGCCTAGGCCAGTGGTTTCCAAATTTTTTCCTACGATGCAACCTTTTTGATATCATGAAATTTTGATAATTTAGACAAGAAATAACCTTTTCAATTTCTGTTAATCTAAATTTTTGTTAAATTGAATTTTTACTTACTTACTTCACGCCCCCAAGAAAAGCAAGCTCTCCAGTTTGAGAACCCTTGTCCTAGACAATTAAAATGATTTAGACTAATTGGGTTAGGTTATTTATGGTCTAGGCTTTTGACCAATAAAAAAATTCGACTTACGTCAGATCTATCTAACCTCACTACACTTTTAATAATTGTACGTTTTAGGTATCATTTAACTTTAAGAAATAAAATTGTGCCTTGAATATACGCTAAAGAAGTAACGGGTTTTTGCAACGGGCGCGCCATCTGGTGGACTTCGAATGAATTGTATGAATTTAAGAATTTTCAACAATACATTTAAAGCACAGATTATACATCATTTTTAAATAAATAGGTGGTTTTTTTCAAAAGAGAGGAAGGCCTTACTCGACAAATTTTATTCAATTGCACAGCTAAATCGCGCACGTTATTTGTGTTTTCCGTTGCAAGGAAAAACTGTTTTAGTACTCGATTTCGATTGATTATTCCTTATATCATTGATTAAGAAACTCAACGCTTAAATGCTTATATAGTTACGTTAATGTGTGTATTTTATCAAAGGGATCATGGTGAATTATTGTGTTTTTAATTTTAAATAAAATTCAAGAACTAAATCGTTGCATTTTCATATTTTGCCAAAGGATCCAACATTTGTTGGTTCAGAATTAACTAATGATAACTTTACCTACTGTAATTTATATTAACATTTTTAAGAAATTAGTAAAAAATAATTTTTTCACAAACATAACCTTAATATCAACCATTTGTATATTTCAGTTCTCTAAAAAACGCCGACAACTGCATTTTAAACAACAAAATATACCTACGAATTCATGGCAACATAATATTATATAGAATACATAATATAATGGTATTTTACCGTTGAGTGGAGACTTTTAATAATGCTAAATGCTGTTTAAATTTAGACGACTTATTTGTTTGGCGGTTTTTACTGAATTTTACTGAAATGTTTACACTTTTCACGTTAATCACTACTAAAATGAATATTTATTGTATCTAATAGGTACAATATATATTTACAGGGACTGTATGAAATTTATTTCTTCATTCAGATTAACACTGTTTATTGGAAAACCGGTATAAACCCAACTCCGGATTTCCTCTCGAAATACACACAACAACACAACAAATCGAGCCACGGTTTTTTTTCGATTTTTTTAACATTTTCCGGCTTTATTCTAAAAAACACTCGTTTGTAATATAAGCGTTTGATAGCTGATTATTAAAAGTTATACTTTTGTTAAATGATAACAACCGAGTGGTGGCGCTACTAGCGATACTTCTTTAGCGTATAAAATGTTCTATGCCATTCGGACGAGAAGTGTCTTTTTGAGCACAAAAGACTCACTTCTTGGCTTAATGACCTAAATAACTATCATCAACAAAAATTCGTTAAACGAATTAACAATAATTATTCTTAAATAAATTATTTAAGAATAATTATTGTTAATTTTTTGAAGGGATAATTCGAAGAGACAGTTTTGAATTTCCTATTCCTGCAAAATAAACCCATTCTTTTATCTGCAGATACCTTAAATATAATCAATTTTAAGTTTTTCCGAAATATTTAGCTGTTTATATATTGTTTTCTTGTTTCAATCACAAATTTGACAACATTGCCAATTTTGGTAAAAAAAAAATTGGTTGAATACTTTTTATTAACTGATAACACAACTTCGTTTGGTTTCCTTAGTATTTAAAACTCTATATGCAGTCTGTAAAATAGTCTCTATACCCTCCAAGGTTTTGGCTGAAGATTCTATATATTCTACACAATTTATTTTTCTTCTTAGTTTTTCTATTTCGTTTCTCTTTATAAAATCTTTTTCTTTTTCGTCGCATTTTGTACCTAAAATATTGCAATATTCATTATAATTTTATTGGTAAACTATTATTAACTTACTTATAAGTATTTTTGGAACATTTTTATATAAATCTAATTCTTTAGCCCATTTTGTTCTTATATTATCAAATGAATTAAAATCATGAACACAAAAGCAAAGTAAAAATAAGTTTGCCTGAAAATAAAAATTATTATTTTTAAAAGGGCAAATTAATAAATATTTACTTTTTCATACGACTCTTTCCTGGCAAAATCATATTCTTCCTGTCCTGCTGTATCAATCATGTTAAATTTTATAGATGAAGACAACTCTGCAATTTCCACTTCAGTCTCGTTTATACTTAAATATAATAAAAGTGTTTGACCTAAAAACATTAAGAAATTTTAAATATTTACTTACATGTTTGGATTGGATGAAACATCAAATGATTTTTTGGTTAATGCGTTTACAATTGAAGTTTTTCCGACAAAACCGTCTCCCACTAACACAATGTCATTTCTATCGTTCATTTTTATGTCCACGTTTAATTTATTTATAACCAAAAAAAATCTTTCAACACAATATTTTTAAAATGTAATACCACTATTTAATCAACTTATCTGCTTCCTAGGATCTGCTTATCTCTATAAAATTGTTTATCAACAACAATTCGTTCATTTAATAATGAAATAATTATTAGTCAGCTATTTAATTCAATTTTTGTGAAGGAATAATTCAAAACAAAAGTTTTAAATTTTGTGTTACTGCAAAATAACACATTCTTGTATCTGCAGGCACCTTAAATATTGTCAATGTTTAACTATGTAGAACTATTTGGTTGGTTTTAGATTGTTTACTTGCTTTATTCACAGATGGCGCTTTAATCGCGCAAATGACTCCTGCAAATCTCCTGCTAAACTTTCAGGAATTCTCATAGATGGCGATAAATTCTGTTTATAGCGCTTTTAAAAGATTTAATTAAGAAATTTTAATTTTATACAATATTATATTATTGCAGAAATCAAAACTAACTAGGTAATCATAACTTTGTTGTTATGTATTAACAAATTTTAACTTTTTTGTTTTTAAAACGTCCTTTAAAAAATGTTTGGTAAATAAGTAGTCTCAATACAATAAAATAACAAAAGCCATACAAATTTAACAACTTTATAACCTAGAGGATGCGTTGTAATTTTAATTTAACTGGAAAACAATAAAAAAAATTAAACGTTTTTGATATAGGTATATTACTTTCCCCAAGGGAAAAGGTCTCTGGTCGTTGAGTGCCATTTAGGAATTTATTTTGTATAAAAATAAGTTTTATAGAAAGCAATAAACCAATCAAAGAACTGCATTCTCTATCGCAGTCTAGTGTGTATTATAATTCTTAATATTAGAATATTATGTATCAAGTTTTATAAAGGCCATTTTAGTTACGAGTTTTATTAGGCACGAACAAAGCTTGCGAGTGCCTAGAGAAGTTTGAAAAACGAGTTGCATACTATACTTTATATACGAGCAACACAGATAAAAATTTAAAACCAATTTTAATTGTTACAAATTTTACATCTGAAGAATTTAACCCTACTTTTTGCCAATTTATAATAAAGCTAACTTCAGCCCATGACTAAAATGCACAAAACTCACTATTGTTAACTTCAGTCCGTGACTAAAACGCACACATCTTGTAATTGTGGGAGTATATAATAGTATATTATGTATCAAGTATGTATGCACCATTTTTCGTTCCAAAAACCATTACCAAAGTGGTGATAACTTTAAATTAGTTAGTATATACTAAACAACTACTTTAATTTTTACTTAAAAGTAATTCTAACTTTTAAATAGCAATATTTTGTAACAGAAACTTCATTCTTTCCTTAAATGGTTACTATAAAGTAATAAACATGCCCCCAAGAAGACTTTGCAACTTTAAAAAAGGTGTTATAAGTAAAAAAAACTTTCAAGTAAATTTAATTTGTAGCTGTTACTTTCAGTTGCTACCTAGATTACATTATAATTATTTTTACTTTGTATTCCCTTTGCAAGTAAAAATCTCTAAACTGGAACATGAGTTAAAAACTACAAAGTTAATAACTTAAAAGTTATTATTTTAGTATTTGGAACGTTTATGGTACTAACCAAAACTACCTTAAAGTAAATTAAGGTGGAAAAAAGCTTTAAAGTAGCGAAAACTACTTCAAAGGAAAATGCTTCTTATCGGCCATTATTTACTGTACAGTACCACGTGGTAATGTAAATATTGAATTATTTTAATTGTTTGTAAATGGTTGTTTACTTTTTAATAAATAGTAATTTTGTTGGTAATAGAAGGTATTAATAATTAAATAAAAAATTATTAATAAATATTAAGATTTTTTTATTTATAAACATTATTAAATAAATAATTTGTTTATAAGGTACTTAAATATTGATGAAGCGCATTTATTTTACAAAAACTTTATTTATTTATTTATTATATTATTTATATTTATTTATTATATTATTAACCTGCCTAATTAAACATTATATTGTTATTCTGAAAGTTATAAACTACCAATACCTATTTAATAAACGACGACATTGAAAAGCCAAGTCCGTAGTTGTTCCATTTAAAAAAGAAGGGATAGTATAATCTAATATAAGTTTGACAAAGACAGTTAATATAAAAGCATTGAGTAAAGAAGTTCTTTACTCAATGATAAAAGTAAAAACAAATAAATAAAAGTAATTATAACGCTCTAGCAACGATATTGAAACGTTCTAGTAACGTAGCGGCTACGTTCCAAATAGTAGCAGGGTTTATAGCTAGTGACATATTTTCTACCTTTTTGGAACTCAATAATTGTTCCCTACTTTAGTCGTAACTTGGTAATGAAACCGGCGACTGTTGCAAAACACTTTAAAGTTTTTTCAATAGTCCCATATACGTAACAAATACTTAAATTGTTGCTTGGGTTATAATTCCAATAATTTATGATAATTTATGGAAAATATATAAAAAAAACCTTGTAGGTATATGTAGCTGTGTTTTATGGTTCAGGTAGTCATTTGAAATGCTTACTCTCCGGGCAATTAAACCACTGTCTAAGAACTACTTACTGATAAAGATAATTTAACTACACCATCGAACGATCAACACTAATGAAGCTGAACAGGTAGTTAAATGCCTAGTTACTTAGATAAAACAATTGCATCAAGTGGTATTAAATTAGCCTGTTTTTATTTTACTATGTTGGCTGCATGTCTAATTTGGTTTCTTGGAAGAAAAACGTTAATGCAAATAGACGGCATTTAGCGAACACAGTTCCCGCAACCGTATTAATTTGCCAGTTTGTATTTCTCCTAAAAGGCATAATTGATGAAAGTGAATAGGTACTTGCGGATAATTAGATAATAATCGCGTTTTGTTTAGCACTAGGCTTAAAGGAAACTTGCCATTGTAAACATTGATCACACTAAAGGTTAGGTTTTTATTTTGCTGCTATAAAAAAATTCCTGCTGCCATAAAAAGAACAATTATTGTGGAAATGTATTATTAAATATTTTTAGTAGGAATTTTACAAAAAATATCGTCATGTATGGTACATATTTTTTAATTCATGGATGCATTTTTTTATATAAAATTCTTTTCGAAATGTTTCTTGGAATATCAATCAACAATGAAAGTAGATATATACAGCAGATCATTATTCGCAGAATTCGGAGAATAGGTATAATAAGACGAAGTAATGCCGTGTAATCTGCAACTAAAATTTGTGTTTTGTGAATAATAATTTAATTTCTAGACCTAAAAACGCTGTATTTAAAAGCATGTGCGCTTAAATTATTAATTAAACTATTTAATTAATTAAGTTCGTGTTTTGTTTATATTTAATCAATTTTATTATTTGATTTATTAAACTTATGGGTGATTCTACAAAAGTTGGACAACTTGATGTCATCAGTCAATAGATTAGGTATTTTAATATTTTTTGTAAATATTTTAGTATATTACAAAAGATCCAGGTTTTTTTTAACTTGTCCACCCAATTTTAATGTATTTTTTTAAAAGCACGTTTGTAAAAAAACATAATAAATAATCAACATCAATACCTTGGCATGTCACAACTCCTGAATGTGTCAGTGATTTTATTTTAAAATATATTCAATTTATCTTAAATTTTTCAATTTCACTACAAACTATAAAACATTAAATATTGTATTATTCATATTTTATCATAGATTCGAATAATAGCAATTTTTAAAAAAATGATAAGTGTCCCCGTCGCACTATGTCGTAAACAGAGTGATTAGGTGACCAAAAATATTTTTGTTGAAAAACATATTGAAAATGCTTTTTTGTTATACAAAAAGATAATTTTTAATAAATTTAACCATTAGTTGGGATTAAAAAAAGCTAAGTACAGGGTGAACCACGTAAGATAACCCATATGCCTATCTCAGAAACAACTGTAGTCAAGAAAAATTTGCAGGGAACAAAAATATTTTAATTAATACATATTTTTTAATGTTGTAATTTAATTTATACAGGGTGTTCAATTTTTTCTGGGACGATACAAATTTTATTATTTTCGATTTTTACAACCTTTTATTCTACGTACTTTTTTATGTTTTTAATGGCCTTTTGCAGAGCTGAAAGGGATTCCGCACTTGTAGTCTTATCCTGTTAAAGTTTTCTGTTTAGATACCTCATCTGCCATTCAATTTTCTCAAATCCGTTAGATTGCTAAATTTGGGTATTTGAAATGGATGTTGTTAGCAAGAAAGTTAAGAAGTTATTTTTATAGCCAATTGGCTATAAAAATTAGTTTTAAATTGATATATATTAATTATTTTTATATTTTTAATTAATTTTAAGGCGCCAGATTAAAAAAAAACTCGGAAATAAAGACAAGAGTTAAAAAAAAATGAGCTCTAATACACATTTTTTGACATAAAATCAAGTGTAGCCAAGTTTCTCAACATTTCCCTTCAAAATCCTTAATAACGACCATTATTCATATATTAACAAACACTTCCACACACAAAAGAAATTGGGGCAACCTGGGGCACCATTACTATTTGCAAAAAGTTTGCTTGAATGCACGTTAAAAAAATGACAAACTTTGGACGGCTATTACTATATATAAAATAAAATATTTTTTTAAATTTTTAACGTTATACCTTAAAAGACATTTATTTTAAAGCAATCTACCAAATATAACTCCTGTTAATTATAATTTATAGTTTTAATCGCATATTTACCAAGCGCGAGTTATTTATATAAAAAAATGTGTTTGTGCATTGTTTTAAAATTTTATACGTCACGGTCCTTATTAATATTTTATAAATAAACAAATGGTTGTACATTGTCAAGAAAAGCATAATGATCAATTTTATGTATATTTTTTTGCTGTAAGGGCAACTTCAGAAATCGACTTTTGGTCACCTATACAGGTCAAATACGACACAGTGCGTCGGTTCTGTGTCCAATGTTAAAATTCAAAATTCCTGCGAAATATTGAAGTTTAAACGTCAAGTCCTCGTTTTAACTCTAGTGTTGGTAAAAAAATACCTACAGAGCCCGCCCTTTGCATGACAGTCAT